AGGCGGAAAAAAAATGCTTACACCAAGTTTGTGCGAAAGCAGGCATGCAAGGTTGAAGTTGGCAAGGCGGCGCCACACTTTGGGGTGAAGACTTTGATCATCATCGTGCAGTTCGTCGCCATTGCAGTGTTGTGGTGTTGGTGTGGTAGCTGTGATCGTGTGTAAGGTGACCTCGCCACATAGGGTACAAGGTTAGCACACCTTGCACCCTATGTGCAACCCAACATCATGCTTATGTGTGAGTTGAGACAATGCAGGCAACCAAACAACTTGCGCAAAGCTATCCCCTAATGCAGGTAAGCAAGATGCACGCAACCAAACAAGTTATAGATGTTGGTTTTTAGGCTGTTTCTACTAAGCCGGGCTTCATTGAGTCAGGCTGGGGTGGAACGGCAATCAAACATGCCCTATGCACACATTGAGTCTCTACATCACTAAGATGCATGTAATCAGTGATCACGTTGTAACGAGTAAAGTCGCATAAGACCAAAGTTATGTCTAGGCGGAAGAAAAAGGGTAGGGAAAAGGAAAAAAGTTTACAATGATCCACCCTAGTAGTTGCAAACCCAATGGCGATGATGCAAGCAAACACGATCTAGAAGTGGACATAACAAAAACCATGCACACTCCAGGTAAGCAGCCTACCACCAAGAGTCGTCTATGAAGCCAAGAACATTTGTCAAGGATCAAACCGGCAAGAAAAGACGATACCACCAAAATCTCATATTGGAGACGCTTCGGCGATCCCACTCCTCTGACTCAAGTGTATGTCGGTGGTAAATCTAGCATTGTCCACCAGTCCTAGCCAATACACCACGAGCCGTCACTGCGCTACCAGGTCCATGATCTATCGCCACAAATGACATCCGGGCATCCATGGCCCGACCATCTACACCACCTTGTCAACGCCACACCAGCGTGATGGATCGCCACTACCCACCACCTCCATGCCTCAAACACCCAAAGTAGGGAAACATCTAGACAAGGCATCGGCGTCTGCAACTTCAGCCTCACAACCAACGTGCATCCATAAGCCCTGACACCATCACCGCCATCTTCACAAGTTGTCTTACCGACGCCCCCAAGGAGATAGACGATGTGAAAGAGTCTCCATCGTCTGATCGCGTGGATCTAAGGTTACCCTCGAAGATGCAAAGGAGAGCATCGCCTCGATGATACCATCAAGAAGGGAACGATACTCGAGAACGTCATCGTCACTAGCGCCGACAATGGCTAGATGCTAGATTAGCACACAACAAGAGCTGCCTGGAAGGTCGCAGCCAACCAGGCCGAACACTACCTAGTCTCCTTGCCGCAAAAAATGCCTTTCCCACGTCTGCGCCATGCTAGAAGTTGAAGCTATCATAGTCCACCACACACCATCCACCACGGGGGCGTGCACCACAGTGAGGTCACATGAGGCCTAGTCCTGCCGCCGTCCGGCT